CCTCCCTTTTCCCAGCACTGGTGGCTGCACAGAGAGCTATCAAGTGAAATGCTGAACCTAAACTAAAGGTTGTGTTCATTTAACAAGCATTAAGTATGGGTCAGGAGGGGCAGAGTGGCAGCTGCCCTCACAGCTGAGGCCATTCCCCCTCCATAAATGGTGAAGCACAGCATCCCCACGAATGGAGGAGGTGGCTGCAATCTCTTCTTTCCTGCTTCTTCCTCCCTTACTCAGCATGAAGGCAGACAAGACCCACATTGACCCAGAGACCCACGGATAAAACCTGTGACTAGTGTAATCATTGTCTTTTGCACTTCTGCAGAGCTTCCTCAGCACAAGACACTTCAATCGTTCCCTGAGCCTTGCCCAAAGCAGCTACAAACTCCCAGCTATGACAATCCACCACTGCTCAGTGGTGAACACTCCTCTGCAAATATCTCAAATGCAGATGTCTCAGCTCAAATGCCTTTTCCTAGAAACTAAGTGGATGCACTGCACTGCACTTCCCACATGCCAAAAGCTCAGACACATGCAGGAGTGCCTTACACGCTGCTATTTAGGCTGCCAAGAGACTATGTATCCATCTGATGGGCATCAGGAGGAACAAAACCTTCTTTTGCTCACGAGTTCACCAGAGCTGAAGGATATTTGCCCAAGTTAGTAGCAAAGGCAGCAAGAGATTGGTTCCCAAAAATTGGTTTCAACACCAAGACCACCACTCCTGCGTTATTTAACCTCACAGGCCACAAACCTCAACCCAAAACATCATTCTTCACACCAATCTGTACAAAATGTCTCAGCCACCAAATCATCACATAGAACTGCCAAGAGAGGCTCTGCAGTGACACGCTGGAGAAAACACTGTGGACAATGGCACGTCTTCCACGGGACCCCATGGGATCTCTTCTCTGTTTTGGTATGCACTTCCCATTAAATGAGTAAGAATATTAACCAGCAATTAGACACAAGAAAAATTTAGCCTGCCAGTCAGGTCTCATTGTTACTAAGCTTTCCTATCAGGAAATAGAAGGGTCTCAGAAGGGAAGCAATGGAAATGATCACTCAAAACAACTGAACAGGCTGCTAGACTAGACACTACTGGCAGCAGTCCTGACCTGGCAGGAAAACCCAATAGCCCTATTCTTCCTCTTTGGCATCTGTGATCCTACAATTGCTCAGTCATTTCAATAAATCCTTCAGCTCCTCTGTCTGGTTTCATAATTTTATGGGCTCAATTCTCAAAAGAACTCACTGCCCATCATCCAGGCCAGCTTTTCATCTTCAGCTGCAACTGTGATCTTCCCAAGTGTGCTCAGCACCCAAAAGCCATCTTTGCAAAGTCCCAGGGGCAGGCATTACCTTGCCAAGACCCTGAAGCACTGAGTGCCTATTCCGTGGCTGCCTAACTCTTCAACAGGAAGAAATGTCTGCATGATGCTCTTATGGATGTTCACACTGTCAAAAGGGCTAGATACTATTTTCCCAAAGTAACTTGACCCATTCAAAGAACTTCTCCAGGGAAGCCAGTTGAGTATCTCTGACATCTGCACTACCACAGACACTCTAGTATTAACCATTCCCTTTATCTCACTATATTTTTGCTGATAGCTGAACTATGCAGTGCAGTGGTTCTGGCATCCCAGCAATGGCTAGTTATCAGGAGCAAGAAAGCACGAGGTCTGGGAACTCACTGAAAACATTCAGAGGCGATACATGAGGGACTGGGAGAGATTAGACAGGGCTTGCTGGGGCTCCAGGAATTCCTGCAATTCAGGGGTTACGTGGCAAGATTTCTTTTTTGCATGGTACAGCAGTAAGAAGCAACACAGAATTTCCATTTCTCTTTAAAGGTGTTTTCCCAAAACTGTCACACGTATACAGCCTCCCCTGGTTTTTCTCCACTGTTTCAACCAGATGGGGTACCCAGGGCAAGTCCCTGGATTAACAACCCTCATGTACACTGGAGAGGCTCAACTAGGCTCTCGTTTCACCAGGAGCTAAAAACTTTGGAGCCAGACTGACAACATCCACAGCTGCCTGCCTGGCAATTCACCACTTAGAAAGGGCTAATTAGTATGAGGTAATTAGTTTCAGGAAAGAATGTTTGAAAAATAATCTGTGTAAGGTCAGCCATCCTACGTTTTGTTTAACATACTTTTTTTTTCTCTGCTGCTGAAAGAGATCCCAGAAAGATGATGTAAGACACCTAAAACAGGCAGATGCTAGAGATTCAGAGAATCAAGTGTTAAATATACTAAAATGCCTAAAGATGCAACTTCAACCCTAAAGGCTTCTGATGTAACAGGCATATAAAATGTGAAAGTTTCATGGATGATGCTAATTATCCTGAAAGCTAATCTCCCTTTCCCATACGCCTCCACACCTAGGTTCTTGCTTTTCCAGGGGAAAAAAACAAGGCAACACAGAAGTGATCCAGCAGAAGACAAAAGTGCTGACAACAAGGTCTGGCCAGAGTTGTGGCTGAATTCATTTGCCACTGGGCTCCTGCCCGGTCATGGGGCAGCTGTGAAAACAAGGCCATTGGGAAAGCACCACGTGAAGCCAGAGTGGAAATGCCAACACAACCCCAAAGCAACAGCAGCCAACCTCAACCACAGACACCACAGTGGCAGCTTTCTTGCATTGTTGTTGTTTTTCCCTAAAATAGCCTGTAAGATAAACAGAGCCAGTGATAGCTAAGTGCCATCCTCTCTGATATGTGCTTGGCCATTATCTGCTCCTGACACCTAACATCTAATTGCAGAGCAACACCCCAGCAGGACAGCCTGTCCCAAGAGGGACTGCATGGACTGACTGGAGACTTAAAAAAAAAAGAAGGGAAAATAAAGCTTGCTGGCATATCCAAGAAATGGAAAGGTTGTACTCCAGCAGGGTTAGCATGTCAGAATGGGGATTTCAACAGCAACAGCGCTGGAGAGGTTGGCTACCTCTCAGAAGCACACCCAGATTCCAAACTTGGGTCTGGTAAGGTTTCCCAGCCACAAAAATAGCCACATGCTCCCTGTCAACAAGACCTGGGCTCTTCCCTCTTTCCTTCCTGTTTATAACACATCTTCTCAAGGATGTCAGCAGAATCAGCAGCTCTCTGTGCTCCAGAGACAGCGCCTGTCTCACCAAGTGAAAAATCTCCACAGAAAAAAAAAAAAACAGGGTGAGGTAGAATTATCACTCTTTTGCCATTTTTTTTTTAAAAAAAAA